ATAGTGGGCATCCCTGACGGACACCACTAGCTGTCAGCCCTTCAGATGACGACTCACCGTAAGTCCTCACCTGGCTGCATGAGTTCGAGTAGAGTGCCTTGATGATGAGCAATAACGAGCACGACATCTGGATCCATGCTGTATGTTTCTTCCTAACATCTAATGTCAATCTGTGGGGTGTAGTGGTATCTTATCATTTACTTTTGCGACCAAATTACACAGTTGGTAAATTTGAAGTAAAGTTTAAGAATATCCGGCTAAATGTGCAACTATGTGGTAATCGATTCTAATTCATTTAGAACAGATCACTCACCCAGTTATTGAAACATTTTTATCCAAAGTTTCAAAATGAAACTTGATGAGAGAAGTAAGTGAAGATAACTGATGTGAATAGAAATGTGTAGTAAAGGAAATACTTGCACACTAAACTTGGGATTAGAATGAAAGAAAGTTAACCATGGTACCTTTAAAGTACAAATAAATTATTTCCCATCGCATAAAAGGTGGAGATTTTGGAAATACAAAAGGTATGGATAGATTCAAGTGTACACTGTGTCACACTTCTTGAATAAGAGCCCAAAATAAGTTTCCAATTCGTTTTTGTTACATATTTCTATAAACAATGGTGGTTATTTTTCACTTATGTCTATCAAAGGGTGTACTTCCGAATATTATATTATAATATATTAGTCAAGCAATTCCCTCTGTGATTATCACAGGAAGACATCTCCCTTCTTGTATATGGGGATAATCAGTGACTTACACCAACCCGATGGAACTTCCTCTAATTGCCAGACGCTGCCTAGAACCTCAGTTAATGCAGACAGTAAACTGTCTCCACCGTACTGAAATGTCTCTGGAGTCATTTCATCAGGTGAAGCTGCTTTGCCTAGTTTCAGATTGGTGACAGCTTTAGTAACCTCAGTTAAGAAAGGAGGACCTGTGTGTATGTCTCATTCAGGAAGGTGTTGGATGTGCAGCAGGTTGAGCGTGGATTGAAGCTACGTGAATGATGTTCGTCCCATACCACAATAACACCGACGCTGAAGGTTTTCCAGAAATAGTCAACATAGCTCATCCTCAAATTAAGTTCATCCGTGAAAAGAGGGATGATTTTTTATCATTTCTAGGTTGGTATATAAAGAAGCTAAATGCTAGTATTGAGCAGAGCATCTTACATAAGGAGTCAGAGGTTGGCGACTATATATACATTCCATATCATGGTTCACTATAGCTTAAAAACAAACTTTACTTATTACTTTGATGTGTTGGTCAACATTTTTTCTAGTCCCAGTGCTTTGAAGTAAGAAAAACAACTTATCAGAGTAAAAGATTAACTGTTTCATTCGGTAAGCATGAATGTACCTGGGGAAAAGTGATTAAACTGTATTTAGCACTCATCAAAATAACCTAGTTAGGCATATAAAAGTGCACTGACTAACGTTTGCCTATGACAAAAGTGTAATATATATATATATATATATATATATATATATATATATATATATATATATCGATGTAAACTAGGAGAATGGAAATGACAATGGAATGCTTGGAACTAGTCAAAGATCCCATTATAGATAATAAAGATATTCTCATTGGTTTACTTTTAAATTTTAGGCCGTATTGACCAGTGTTTTTAAATCTCCGTTCATAGCACTTACGAAACTGTATCGGTATTTGAGACCTCAGCGGCATAACCAATTACTTTGTTTGCAAAGATGATATTCATCGCTCTTCTGTCTATGGTGGTAGTATCAGTAACATAAATTAGCTGATGAGGACAAAATAAAATATGCTAACCCCATAAGCAGCATTCATAAAACAAATTTAACCCAAGGCATTACACATTTTGTCGAGTTATTTATTTCATACATACCTTTTCATTTTCATTCCTACACAAAGATCCAGATCTTACAAGCAGTTTTCCCTTTAGGTTTTGTTAAGCTTAGACATAAACCACTTACTTAAAACACTTGTATAAGAGTTCATCCTTTGAAATGTTGATATTAGATGGTTGGAGACAATCGGCAGGAAGTCTTGGACCTAGCTCTCGGGCTAGCTGGCGCTCACCAGTCAGCAAGGCGTATCTGCAACCTTGAAGGAACTCATGTCCTTTCTTAGGTTCAAACTCGCGTCACTCAGTGCAGCAGTCAGAAACCTAGGTCCAAGGCCTCCTGCCGATTGTCTCAAACTATCTAAGATCAACAATTCAAAGTGCACTGTGATGCCGAGCCACCTGAAATAGTGGTCACATTGCAAACGTGACTGACAGAATTCAGTTTGCAGTGAACAAAGGACTAGACATGTTGCATTAATTACTAACTATCGTTCAGTCAAAGAGTTCATCCATTAGTTGTCAGACCATATTTTACATGCTATGTGCGATTATTTTCTTCAGTGTTATGTTATTTCACAAGCTATAGGCGTGTCGCTAATTTAAAAAGTTCGAAAACAAATGGCAAGAAAACCTGTCTCCGTTAATCACCTGTCCTTTACTCTTTCCTATGCAACCCATATACAGTTACGGGCTGAATGAATTTAAGCAAACCACTTGAGATCAATAGATTTGTTTTTTATCTGGATTGTCTTTGTACAAGTTGAATATCTTTGGTATAATAAGATTCCTGTTAGCTAGTAGTAGCAGCTAGCACTTTTCTGGTAGCATTGTGTTTTGTAATTTGAATAAGACCACGACCTCTTCCTTGCTAGAGTTAACTTCCATCACTGGTATCATTGATAAGGTATTTGAATTTTGTACTCTGTTATGTTGGATCGCAGAAGCTCATACTACATCTTTAACACCAGCACAAAGACGAAGTAGTGTTCTGCATTTAGATATCATTTTACCGAATTCACTGGCGTTTTCAGAAGCTATTACATACTAAATTCGCTTCATTGTCTTGTACAGAAACATGTCCCAAGTTTTTGATTTAAATCACTTTTGCATGCTCAATATCAGAATGTTGTCCTGCAATGTCTATTAACTTCTGCCTACCTAATAAAGTGGATTTCTGAAGTAGTCAAGTTACTCTGTAATGATATCATCACGAAATTCATCTTACAAATGATTTTTATCAGTATACCATCGGTCACCCTCACTATTTGAACTGATGAACTTCTTACATAATGGCCCAGGGCACTAGAACTTTATTTAGTGCAGCATGTACCTCGGTTTCCGATGGCTTTTGAACATTGAAACATTCTTTTAGGAAAAGTGGCACCTAGACGTCTGTGGAAAGTATTTAAAAGAAGTGAGCAAACCTAAAATATAACCATAATGAATTGAAGAAAGACAGTCAAATAATACCTAATTTTGATGTTATTATTTTCACGAACTGTTTAGAAAGTATTACAGTTTTCTAAGTATTCAACCGAAAATCACGACAGCCTTAACCGTGTAACACAATTCTGAATTTATCCCGAATCTACAATCACAGACTTTATAAATTTATCCCATGTTTTGTTTCCTCCACTCCTAATCTTTTACGAACGTAATCCTGCCACTTCCAACCTTATATATCAAAGAAATTATTGTCATAACATGCCTCGTTCTGTGTTCTGGCAGTTTCAGTCGGTAACGATTCACATTCTCATCTAATGACATACTAATGCACTCATTAGTTCCATTACAAACGTCGAAAATCCCGAGATTTTTCATGTCTTATCTTGGCAGGAGTCATGTTTCAGTCGTAAAGTGGGTTAGAGCAAACCACCACACAGTCCAGTCGTCGTTTTAAAAGTAAGAGGATACCTTACGTATATCTGCTGAGACATCACCAACCTCTGATCTATAAGTGTCTACTCAGCTAGATAACATATTCAGTCAGTCGTGGGGCATATTCTATCGTTTGATTAGGGGCAACAGTGTGCCAAACATAGTTTAAATTCTGTGAATCGGCGGCCAAGGTCACTTTCATGAAACAGATTAAAAATTATACATGTGAATAAGTATTAGCACTTGTGATAAAATTCGACTTTATTCAACACTTTTGGGTTCTTAATGTGTCAGGTGAAACTATAGTTGACAGTTCTCACTCTTATTTAGTGATCTTTTCAAACAAATTCACTATTTTCAAGTATTGGTTTTGTAGGGATTTTGTTTGATTGCATGGAGGATCTCATCATGAACTGTCTTCAGTTAGAGAAGCAGTAGGGTACAGCAGGTTGAAGATGAGGCAGTAACTCATCGAGGAAAACATTGCGAAATGGTTGCGCTATGTCGTGAATTGGCGGAAGTCAGAATGCAAGGACCATTGGATCGGGTTCCAGTGGCTCAATGGTCTACGAGCTCGCCTTGTAACCAGAAGGTCCTGGGTTCGAACGCCATAAAGTTGGTGCGTACTGTGAAGAGTCCCAAACTGGTACGAAACGGTTGTTCAGTACTCCCAGGTTTTCCAGTGGTTCTCTAACTGATGTCAGCTCATGATGAAATCCTCCATGGAATTTACTATTTATTTGCTGAAAAGGTGTAAGGCAAAACGCAGACGAAAATAGTATCTGGAACCAACACTGAATTCTTTAAAGTTACTCATAGTCTGAGTTATTATGATTATGCAGAATTTTTCATTTTAACTTTGTACCATTTTTTGAATTTATGGATTTTTGTTTGCTCTCATTATTATTTATTTAATTAATACACAAGAGCTTATCTATGTTATTCACATACATACATACATAATCAATATAATGCTGCTTATTGCTATTCTATGGTTGTCCAAGTTGACCCAGTTCATAAGTACAGATTAAGCGGTAGTCATAAGAAAGACAAAAAAAGATTATGTAAGCCGAAGTCATAGAATGTCATAAAACAAAAGAAGAAAGAAGGAAATCATTGTGACAGTGAATCATGCATGAGTGTATGTGCTGTATCGCAATCGATTCAAAGTCAGTGTTTATCTACTGTTGTTCATCCAATAATTTATTAGCCCTTTGTCTGTTAATTATTATTTCACTGGTCATTTGTGTTTTTGTATTTTGTATTTTTCTCTTTTTTTTAGGAAATTCCATAGTCATTATTTTCTGTGCAGTCTGTGTTGTAATCCAAATGCATAAAATGCTGTCTACTTGTTAACTTGTACAAATTACTGCCTTTATACGTTTAAACGGAGTACTTGCAACCAGTCGTTTGCATCAAAAGGTATTGGCTTATTTCCAATTGTGACCAGTGTATGTATAACGGTTGAAGACTGTTTCCTTGAAGACAATAACTAATATATGAATATTTTATTCTAGATGTCTCCCAACAAACAGGAAGTGTCTAAGACAACAGCTGTTTCTTCTACTGGATATGAAGTAACTAGAAGTTTTAGGAATCTCGGTGAACCGGTTTATGTCAATGTGTATCATTTAGTGAGTAATTCGTATATTATGTCATGCTTTAATTTACTTAGCATTGGCCTAACGGATTAAAAATGGGTGCATATCATACGGGTACTGTTGTCTACGACAGGGGTATGTAGTTGATACATATATACATACATATATTTTCATATTTTTTTTCTTTCCGTCCACCCAGAATTCGGTTTTGGTGGACATCCATTCGCCAGTAGTGGTATTTTTCAAACTACACCAATGGATATTGATAACTTAGGTGAGGAAATCTCTTTCAAGTAAGTATCAATGAGAATTATTGATATATCTTTAATTATGTTAGTTTAATTCGAAGTAATTTGGAAACTACTCGAGTACTACGGCGTGCAGTGCCCAAATATTCATCAACCTTATTATTCAACAGCTGTACGACAACGGCACATCTCAAGTCATCCACAACGGAAATCTCAGCGAGGCGTTAAGAGTAAACACAGGAGTCAGACAAGGGTGGTTATTATTACTGGTGATGATATTCCTAATTGTGGTGGACTGACTGGATTATGTGTCACACAGTGGGAAACGAGAAGACAGGGATATCCTGGACCGACGTGAAGAACCTAGAAGACGTGGATTTCGCGCGTGGATGGTTTATGTTTGATGTCACACAAAATCGACGACTTACAAGTGAGCGAAAACCGACAAACTGGTCGAAGAAGCAGCCAGTGAAGACAGGACTCCATGTGAACATAGACAAGACGGAGGTTATGAAAATAACCAGCCAACAACAACAACAGCAGCAGTAACATCCAGGGTCACTCACCATCAACGGGAGGGATTTGAAAGAGGTTACTTCATTCACTTATCTAGGGAGTATTGTCTCAACTACAGGGGGAACGGACGAGGATGTCAAATCGAGAAACACATTCATCAACTTAAAACTAATCTGGAAATTTAAGAGTTGGTTTGTAGGGATTTGATTGATTATAGGATTTTCATCATGATCTGGAAATCTTCGTCACTCAGTCAGCATCAACAACAAAATTCGGATTTTCAATACAAACGTAAATTCAGTTCTTCTATACGGATCAGAAACTTGGTGGGTGGGTCACAAAGAATATTTCCAACAGCCTGTTGCAGACCTTTATTAACAACTATCTTCGCTCTCTACTGAAGATCAGATGGCCGGGCGGGAAATAATCACCAACAAGAAACTATGGGAACAAACAAAACAAGGACCAATCGCCCAACAAATATGCAGGAGAAAGTGGATGGAGATGGATTGGACACTCGCTGAGGAAACCGCTGGGTGACATCACGTGTCAGGCCCTCGAGTGGAACTCGAAAGGGAAGTGGCGAGTGGGTCGTCGGTACGAGAGTGACATGCAGGGGATCGTGTGAAGAGGAGTTGAAAGAGTATGGACTAACATGGATGCAGGTGAAAAGTACAGCAGAAGGAAGGCAGAAGTGGCAAGTGGAGACGTGTAGTTGAAGGCCTATGTTCCACTAGGAACCCGAGGGAGCAACAGTAATAATAAATAATGTTAGTTTGATTGGTAACGATGATTGTCGCCAACTTAGTACTTGTAGAAGTTACAAAGAGTTAAACTAAGAAGAGAATCCGATAATTTGGATTCAAATAAACTGGATACTTTTGTCACTTATTGTTTGAAACTTATAACAGTGGTTTAGCGTGCTAGTTTGATACAACACAAGGTGATACACAATATGTTTTTTACCTGATTGAAGTTTAGGATACAATTTACTGCATATTATAAAATAGAGTTTCCACACCTATGTCGTTCGTTGTATGTCTGTGAAAACAGTGTTGTATCTGTTTTATTTCACATGTGTGGTGTTTGTTCAGCATACTGTTATTGCTTTGCAGTCTCTTACACTTTTATTTTCTTCATTGGAATAAGTCAGTTGGTATCTAAATTTCTAATGGAGATGGCTATGTCGAAATTTTTTTTTATCAGAACTTGTGGTTGACTAAAAGTAGATTACATTATGTTAGGTTATAGGAAATATTTCACCATATACATGTTGGTATTCCAGGTGCTTCATATCATCATGCGGAAGCTTTTACACCAAAATTTTCAGCTCACACAGAACATTCCCGTCTGTTTCCTGTATCATATATTTTTACAAGTATAAAAATGATACGTTGAAAATTGTATGAGTTCCTGTCGAAATTCATATGAGTCTCAAAAACGTTTATATATGGTTATTAAGTTGATGATGCTCTAGATGCATTATAATTTCCAGTTACCAGTACTATATCCACATTCTGTCTGTTTATTTATCTATTGAGTTTCATCGTTATTAGAGATGTGGCTACCGTTTTGTGCGACTTCAAGTAATAGATTTGTCGATTTATAGATTTTGTAACAAATCAAAAATCAGGGAGTATTGCTCAAGTGTTTCGTCCACCTTCTTTGGGATTCTTCAGAAGTACTCACCCATAACTCCACTGGGATTGAACACGTTGCGGAGAAAACCTCCTGACACTTCAGTCGCTGGGTTAGAATCCAGTGACCAATGAATTTATATATCTGTCATTTTATAATATAGTGCTACCACCAAGCAGTGTCATTGATTAACGTTCGCTTATTTCAACTGGTCACAACTTCTCATTACAACATCCTGGCATCTTTCCTATAGGCACTAATAAGCTGCAGAGTGATATGTAGATGTTTGAGTTTTTGTAGGAATTTTAAATAATTTCAATGTAGGTTTCATTACGAACCAGCATCAGATCGTTTACCCTTTTACACTTATTGCTTTTTCAATTAAGGGAAAGGCTGTATATGGGTCGGACTTATCTATCAAAGAAAGCAGTCGAGCGGCTGCTTGTAAGTTTGGCTGACGAATTCCGTGGTGATGCCTATCATTTGCTTCATTTCAACTGCAATCATTTCACTTCACAGTTTGTTGATGTAAGTATTCTATTGCACTTTCTTTCATTTACTAAATATCAAAATTTACTCACTATGCTTTTGTTCCCAAATGTTTGAAATCATTGTTTCAGCTTACACTGGAACTTGTTTATTTGCTGTTTTTCGTTAGTAGTTGATTTGCGTCATCTCTCGCGTAGACGTGATATCTGACTATCGATCAAAAGATGTGTGTAATGTGCAGCAGTTCACTTTGTTCTGCTTTATGGTTGTCAGGCATGGCCATTTGAAGTGGAGGGCTAGTTGTCTTTGACTGCAGATGTTTGCTTTCTATCCCTCCTGTTGCGATATAATATGGTGATCAGTAATATTGAGGTTAGGCGTAGAGCGTTAGGTAAGGAGGTAAAGTAAATCGATAAGCTTTTGAAGCTGCACCGATTAAGATGCCTAGGACACGTGTTATGTTTGTGAAGACACTCTCCCTTGTTGAGCAATGTTCAACGAGAAGTGGCTCAAAGTCTCAATGGTCCAGATGCATCCACTCCTTGTGATTTATAATACCGAATAAAATTATATTATTCTTGCATCTTTTTGCCTCATAATTCTGTTTATTATCTATGTTTTGCATTTCTCCTACTTTCTTCTCTTGCTTTGTGTGATACATGGAGGGAGAGTGGCAACTCGAACTGCTGCACATCAGTGCAAAGCTATACGTCGGAACCAGTGAACAATATTATCTGACATAAAATTCCGTTGGAAAAGAATCGGGGCGGTCAAACCTAAACCTGGTATCAATCCATGAAGTCTCTAACAGTTGGTTTAAGCCACATAAGGAGGTGTAGACAGCCTGGTTGGGGTTCTCGAGGTGCTAAGAACCCAGTGACTTGAGATTGTTGGTGCTACAGGTCAGAATTGTTTTTCGTGACACAGATGCATTCATTCTGTACAATCTTCTGGACCCGTTATCTCCTAGTGTTTTCCCACGTTACTATTCTTTCCAACTAAACTTGAAATCTTTCATCAAGTCATCCCATTAATTTTTTTAGTTTATTGTGACTGCGACTGTGTTTAACATTTTTTTCCTTCACGTTCCCAGTGGAACATAGGGCTTCAAGCTAGAGGCTTGAAGTTTCTGTAGCAGTGTTTACTTTTACAGGATGGGGTTGCTAGCCTCATGCTCAACCTTTCCTCCTTACCAGCTTTATTACTGGCTTAGCGAGGTAAATGAGTGTGTCTGTGGCCGGGGATCGAACCCCGAACTATGTGCATGGTTGGCGAGCGTCCTAACCGCTGTGCCACCGACGAACATTTAGCTTATTTCTTTTTTCACAAGGTTTCACATTCACCCATTTCAGTACCATAACTGTATGCATCTGATCTTTTCGTGATTGTAGTGAAGTTACTTGACATACGAAATTCCTTAGCATAACTTACTTTTATTCAGAACTGATAGAAAAAACCCATTTCATAATCGGCTAATGAGTTTAATTCCATTATGGGTAAATTTTGTTTTGATAAAGTCTCACAGTGTTATACAGTAATGTTTACTGATGACGTTTCGAGCACAATTTATTGCTCATAATCATATCAAGGTACTCACACGACTTCCTAACTTCACTTGTATAGTTCCATTGTTTTTCACTTGATTTGATTGGTAATAGTATTTTCCATATTTTGGGTATGAGTGATGAGTCATTCCTATTGCATGTGTTGGGTGTAGACTCAATGAACAAGGACTTTATCAAAACAAAATTTACCCATAATGGAATTACACTCTACCACAGTGCACAAGTTTTATTCTTATATCAACGGCTAATGAGTTTACTTTTCGTACTATTGTGTAGTGTATATTTAAGGCACATATGAATTAGTTGTCTGACGAGACTTAGCTAACTGCTATGACTTTTATACTGCATAATGTGTAATTTAAAAGCTAATTCATTGACTTGTAACTTCAAGTTTCTGATCACCTGCGGTAGCTTTAAATGAGTGGTCATTCGATGTAGTAAGTCACGATCGAAACTGAGATGTAGATCTTGAGTTATTGAAGGATTTAAACAACAACATCTATCAGATTAGTGCCCTAGTGGACTAAGATCACAGGCTTACATACTAACCATATCTTAATATTATACCTCAACCACTGCGGTTAATGTATTTTATTAACATCACAGTTTTTAAATAGCAAGTCGTAGTTAAATAGTATATCACTGGATTTTTTCACAAATTGACGATTCTCTGTCGGTACGTGTAAAGAAATTTGTTAATTTATGAAAAATAAGTAAACGAAATTACCATGTGATTAATATATTAAACTTGGGGTTTGTCGCTCGATAAATTTATTATTAAATAATGTTGGTCTTATACCTCATTGCCAAGCATTGCTAATTTTATCTTTACAAGCATAGCACGCTTACTGTTTGTATGTGTATTTTTGGAGCACTGATAAAGTATTACTAATCTTCAAAGTAGCAGTTAATACAGAATGCTGATACTGAATTAGTTCTTTTTAGGGATTAAAATGGTTACAATTATTTGTCACGATCTTATGAAGAGTATAGTGAGTACTGTCTATCTATTACTCTCCTCAACCATAAGTACTTCGCAGGCTGTTTTGAAGAAATTATTATTTAGGCTTTGAATTAAAAGGGATGGCATGTTAGGTGGAATTTCGGCTTATATGCTCATGCGTTAGTCTTCCAACTGATTGTCATCAAGTCACAACCACACTACTGGCAATTAGAGGTAGTATTTTATTTTTACGAGCCATTGAGAACAAGCAGGGAGTACTGGATAGCTGTTTCGTCATAGTTTGGAATCATCGGTAGTATGCATCTACTGGGGTTCGAACCCAGGACCTTCCGGTTACAAGGCAAGCTCGTGTACCATTCAGCCACTGGGACCCCATTCAATGGCCCATGAATTCTAACTCCTACCGATTCGTATGGTATATGAGCTTGTCTTGTAACCGGAAGGTCCTGGGTGCGAACCTCAATGGGTGTGTACAGCCGATTATTCCTAAACTAGGATGAAACAGCCGTCCATTACTCCCTGCCTGTTTTCACTTGTTCTCTAACTGATATCAATCCGTGATCCTTACAAACCAACTGTAGTATTTTATGCTTCCTGGCACCAAGTATACCTCAACAATCATATTGATTTGCACATATTTGGCGATGAGTCACACCAGTTGTGTTAGGTCTGGTGATATTTACCTGGCTAAATAAATTCTTTATCCAGTAACCGAGGAGCACTTTTCCCCCACACTTTTTAGTCTATCACAAACCATGTCTTTGTCCTTCTCTCTACGGAAGGACGTTTGATCTGTTTTACGATACAGTGTTGAAACATGGATGTTGAATGCAGAAACACACTATAAGTGGCTTTGTTTCTTTCCTTACGTTAAGTGGTGCAGCATTATAAGTAATCATTGAGTTAGGCTTAGTGGGTTGGGTTTTAAGCGAAAGCTTATCGACAAGATTGTTAAGCTCTATTGATTAAAGTGTTTGAAAAGTGTGTTGCGCATTCCGATCCATCACTGAAGTAATTTTTGGGGTAGAAAAGATCTTGTGGAGGTCAGATCAGAATATGCTACTTAGCCATGGAGTCATCGGTTATTGGTTGGAGTCTTCATAGGAAAATGTGGACCACCCGGCTTCCATTCAGGAAATGTTAAAAACAAGTGGTTAAACTCTTTGTAAAAAGAGTCGAAATCATCGGCGCAAATCTATTCACTTTTTTTCCTCTAACGAATACTAAATAATATTCACTGACCTATTTGTTATTCTCTCCTTCTTCATTTTTGTTCGTTTTGGCTTCATTGTATTTCTTCTCTATCTGTTTTTGTGTGCTTTCTAAATTCTTATACGTTGCATCTGTACACAGTTGTTATGCTTTGTAATGAAGCATGCAATCATTCCTAGTCAAAAAGCTTTTTTCATTCCATATATATATATATATATATATATATATATATATATATATACATCTTGGTGTGAAAATTAACAACAGATCCGGTATGTGTGTCCACTGATCCCTTTCGATGAAATCTTATCGACTGACCATCATGAATGCTTGGTTATAATCTAGCACAAACTTTTTCTGTCGAGTATCTATTCAAACAATTATTTCCCTTTATGAATTTAGATAAAGCAGTAAGAAGACGTAATTTGTCTGAATTGTGTAATGTATTTGCGCAACACATTTCGAACAATCTGATCACACACGGACTTGTCATAGAAATATATATGAAATTAATAAAGAGGTAAGAGGTGAGTCTATTTTCTCACCTCTTGTGTGTGATCAGATTGTTCGAAATGTGTTGCGCAAATACATTACACAATTCAGACAAATTACCTCTTCTTATTGCTTTATCTGAATATCTATTCCCTAGTACTCATAGTAATGCTTTATTATCGTTCTACTGAATTAAATTCTGAGTGACTTTCTGTATTCATTGTAAAGAGATTCAGTCACTTGCAAACTTTAGAGAAAAGTGAATTCTCTTGCACAAGTTACTAAGTTGTGTTTACACCAACGTTTTCTATCAAACAAATATCGTGTGCAAATCGAAAAAAAAGAATTATCCGTACTACATAGTTGTATTTCTGCACGCATTCACATAGTTGAGCAAACTGTTTTATAACTGTTTGGGTTCTTACAAGTCAGTTTATTTATCATCCAGTGTATTTGATGTATATACACACTAATTTTAATCACCACACACCTTTTTTTCGACAATGAAATCGATTGAAAACTATGCAGTACTGATTATTCTCCAGGGGGTTTTCTGTTTTGTGTTGTTGAGTTGTAGTATATGCAAATGTTCAAATCAGTCAATCACCGATTCATTCTAAAATATAATAATGATGTCTAATGCGTTTTGGATTTTTCTGTTCCATTTAATGACTTGTATGAGTGAGATTTATGCTATGGTGAAATTAAGCGAGATGAAATAAGTTATGTAGAATGGAAATTAATTAGCAAGAAAATGTTTTAATATATGTGTAAAACTTGGGCACTATATTAGTTTGTTTTTTAGA